CTCGGGGCAGAAGTCGCCAGCGAGGGCGAGGGCCGGGTCGGCACGGTGGAGGCGCGCGGCGTCGAGGATCTGCCCGGGGGGGAGAGCGGAGGTCGACGACGAGGGCGACGTCGAGGACGAGCTCCTACGTCGCGCTCTTGACGACGGAAAGGATCCGCCGCGGAGCCAGCGATGTCCGCGTCGACCTCGAAATAGTCGGGCCCGGAGAAGTAGGGGAGCTGCCCTGGCGAGTTTGGCGGCGTTGTGGCCGCCGCCGACGGGCCCGAAGAACGAGCTTGGCGGCGTTGTGGAGAGCTTCAAGGGCCCCGGCGAGCTTGGCGTTGCCGCCGACGGCGCGGCGCGAGCCAGTTTCTCAACTTCAGCCGCGCGTCGCCGTTCGCGCGCGCGCACGCAGATGACGAAGTTGCCCGAAGGGCATGCAAAAGTTGAGGTCGAACTCGAAGACCTTGCCGCCGTCCGGCCCTTTGCGACGAAAGCGCCCGGGTGGCGCGCTTCGTGGAGCTGGGGCACGTCCGTGAGGAAGAGGGCGCACAAACTCGGCGCGCTCGGCACCTTGACGCGGTCGCAGAGGTAGCCGCCGCCGCGGGCTCGCTCCGGCAGTGCCCATCGTTCGTCGACGGCTAGGGCGGCAGGCCGCAGTGCGCGTCGCGGTCGTCGTCGGCGAGCGACGCCGCGGAGCCGCCCGGCGACGCCGCATCCGCGCACTCGTTGTCGCGGCCGTCGTCGTCGGACGCGCGCGTCGTCGCGGCCATCGTCTCGGACGTCCCACGGGGCGCCGAGCGCCTCGAGGATCGCCGCGGACCGCGCGTTGGGCAGCGCGCCGACGATCGACGCTCCAGGTGAAGTCGTCGCTCGAAGTCACCGCGTCATTTCCGACCTTCTCCGGTGGCGGCGCCGGCGCGGCTGCCTCTTGTCGTCCCAAATCTGGGCGCGTTCGCGGTCGCGTCGATGGCTCCGACATCGCGTCGATCGATCTGCTGAAGTAATGAAATAAATAAACACAAACTAAACATATACTATTGTACCTAGGTAGAGATACTACGGCAGCTGAGGTCCCGTGGGGATGTGCGTTCACCCTCGGACAGCAGGGCAACCCATCTAGGCTGCGCCCTGCCCCTGAGTTTACTATCTCGCTAGTAGTCAGACTACCTAGCTTCTGCCCCCGCTGGCTGTACACTCCTTCAGTTCGTTGTCTATAAAATTTGAAACTGGAATAGTATAACAGAGACGCCGGTGTACCGCCACTGCGTAGCCTCGATAGTTCACCCTCGGACAGCAGGGCAGCCCCACTAGGCTACCTTCCTGTCCCCGAGTT